GTCATCATAGAGTCATTTGTATACTATGGAGACATTGGAAGTTATTCATCAAAATCCACCTTCACCTCTTGGTTACAACATTTGGGAGAATTGTTTATAAACATTAAAATGTAAATAAAAGTGTTTTGTAGAACATGAAGGAGAGTATGTGAAAATTTGTGTAGAAGGAAGAATTAGTCTCACACACCTTAGGCTAATGAGTGGGGAAAGGAAGAACATTTATTAATAGAACCCTCATGTTTGTATTTTTGCCAACTTTTAAACTGTAATTGAATATGATATTCATTCTAATGATCAAACATATATCTATAATCTCATACTGTAAACATGTTATAAACTAAATGCGAAAGCGTACCTGAATTGGTCATAATGACGATATTCTTTGTAGAGCACTTTTGATTTGATCTTATGGTCTTTCACTTGAAGAGCACCTGTATTTCCCTCTTGATTTTCTTTCTTGATGGGGATAGAAAGAAAAGAACGGGACTGTAACTACGTTCTGTCTGTGTGCTCTCAGAAGGGGACCATGACCCTTTATATAACCAAAATTATGTTAATTACTTAAGTTTTAGTATTTTTAATTTGGCCCCTCATCAAATTAGAAATTATTCTATGGTCTCTACACAATCATATTTTCATGACATATGCCTTTAGCAAAAACTTTAATTTATTTAGATCACTTTATTATTTGGCTTAATAAATAATGACACTAACACATTTAAATATGTTTCATATATATACATGACCCAAAATTTGCCAACAGAATTGAACCAACATTAAGAAGTTGATTTGCTTATTTATTTGCCCCCATTACTTGTCTTTTAGTTCAATTTTGGGAGGATTTGCTCCTAACTCTCTTAATAAGGAATTTTCCTTAATTAGGGAACTAGTGTTGAGATCTCTTGGGAGAAGATGATTTCCATCAATCATTTTTAGAGACTTTTTCACCATAATTGGAGAAGACCAATGTTCTCTCTAGGGCTCATACTCAATATGATAGCATTGTTATTATCTATTAACACGAATGCGATATTATTATTCTTAAAAAGTGTCTTGGGAGTTGAGAGATGAGAGTATATATGAATTATTTTTTGTCTTGACTTCTAAATAATTTGAAACTTATAAATGTACCAGAATATAACCCTTAATTAAGAATTAAAGAGTAAGAATAGAACGAAAGTCTGTTTTCATTCTCACAGTTGATATAAATATTATGTCTCGCTTTGTTAATATCATTATTATTTATTATCATATTTGATATATTGTCCATTTTAAAATTCTAAATCATGATAATTTTATCTTTAAAATATATATTAATAGATTAAAAAAGAAGTTTCCGAAACAAATTAAGCAAAGCAAGGAAAAAAAAATTAAGAATAATGAACAATACACACAAATAAATATTCTACTTATATATAACTTTCCAAACAGGATAGGAGTTGGACTTAGGAAAGTTAATTATGGTATCGATCTTAGCGAGACACTTTTGAAGACACTAATTTACATCACAATTTCAACTATCTGGAATCAAGCAATGACTCATTTTCTTGCACCCGAATTAAAAATGTGTAAAAAAATATAAAAGCACAATCATGTGGTGGTGTTATTGTACAAATATCAAGAATCCTGCAACAATTCATCATTTCTTGCAATGAAAAGCAACTATCCATAAGGCATCGAAAAATGTGTGGATTGTAAATACATTGACTCACGTAATATTATTGTTCAATTGCAAGGATCAGAAATCTTGCAGTGAATTGTTCAATAATATTACATCAACTAACACTTGTCATGATTCAACTGATTCACGTTAAGGTATATTGTTAATGGGTGAAGAATCCTGCATAGAATCGTTCTTAGAGCCAATGCTTACTTGCATATCTCTATCATCCACCAATAAGCCAAAAGATCTATCACAGTTGCACCAATGAATCGTATTCTGCAAACTATCACTTTCTCTCTTAATGCCATCAATTATGACAGCACTTACAATTAACGAGTTTTTCTCCACGTCTCATCACTTTCTCTAAACTAAACCAATACTCAGTACAAGGGGTGCCCATTTTCTCAAGTTCTAATGAGTTTGGTTCCACCTCAACCATGAAAAATGGTCATTGAGCATGCACCTTCACTGCAGAAGGTCACACATACATCCTAATAGAGAACGATTTTGTATATCAATTACACATGTATCACTTCTTCATCGTAATATAGAAACGGTAAAGAAGTAACTAACAAAATTAAAATTTTGACATCTCCTTGAAATTGTATATTTCATGCTCGTCTGCAACTCAATTGACATGAAAACTAATGTTTGATCAAGATAAATTTTTTTCCTTTAGTAATATGCTTTGTGAGACTACTATGATGAAAAGAATACAATTCAACTAACTAAAAATACAATAAGAACGCCACCTATAACTTTCTTTTTTTAATTACATTTGACTGTTTATATTTCACATTCATTATCCTTTTTGTGTATTGTATGTATTAATCTAATTATTTGTAAAACAAAATTATTTTTATGTAAAAAATCATCACTAATATTAAATATTTAAATTAATTATAAAATTTACATTATAATTTAATATTAACATCGTTTTATATTAATAATAAACTCTATTAATAATAATAAAAATTACATATTATTTACTTATAAAATAACTTAAATATTTTTCTCTAAATGAGATATATGATAATAACTTTAAATTCATAATCACATAAGTGGAAAGGTATATACTGAAAATATTAATAAATAAAAAGTTTTACTTTAACTAATATTTATTATTAAATTATTTATTTTGTTTAACCTAATTGTTATAAAAGTAATTTAAAATAATCTAATTAATATATCAAATAAATTATTTAATATTTTAAATCAATATAATCTATAGTAATTAATTCTATTAATATATATTTATAGTAATTTATTCATTAATATATAATAATTTTTCTAAACTAGTATATATTTTTCATATATTGCTAGTTAAATAATATCTTACACAATTTATAATTAATTTTTGTTCAACATACAAAATTACAAAATGTAGAAAAAAAAAGTTAGGAATTTCACTCCCAAAAAATCGAATTCCGATCACCATCTCCGATGACCATGGCCATATAAACACACAGAATTTGATTCCTCGACAACTCATGTAAAGCAAGTTGGTCAAAATTCTTCTTATTATCTTTGACAACCATAGCCATATCAAACCAAAGAATTTGGTTCTTCCTGAGACAAAAAAAAAGTGACAAAAAAATTAGAAAACAAGAAAGGAAAAACATTCCCACAAATTCGTTGTAACAAGTGTTTTCTGAAACACGAGACACGTGTAGAATAGATAATGAATTCGGTTTTAACTTTGGACAAAAAAAAGCATATTTCAGTTTCTTGAATAAACTACCATTTCAATTTACTGTTTACAAATTAAAGAATAGTTTTTAAAGTTATTTAAATTTCTCAAATTTAATATTTAAAGTTTAAAAATGTACTCTCTCTCTTCTTCTTCTTTTTTCCTAATTTGAGAGACTTCTTAAAAGACGAACGTAATAAACCTAATTATCTATCGAGTGCTGAATTTTGAAAATTTAGTCCTGGAAAAAAAAATGTATAAACAAATTTATGTGGGTAAAAGTAAGAGTATAATTGAGTTTGAATTAATAAAATGTGTGGCCCTAATAGTGGTGGTGAGAAAACAGAACAAGTTCCGACAAGTCCCACAATAAAAATTGAAAAGGAACCTCAAATTATTGAAACTAGAGAGATAGAACATTATCAATTATGTATACAGACAACATTTTAAAACACTTATATTTTTTAACAACATAACCATATTCCATGCAAATCATTTTCCCTTCTCTTCAATCAGGGACAGAAGTGTAATAAAGAAAGGAAACAAAACAAAAAGAATAAACATATCTGATTTTGACATCAAATGAAATTTCAGTTCATCATAGAACTTTAAGCATATTTTAAAAAGTTGATTTTTTTTTTTGCATTTTTTAGTACTTCAAGAAATTCCATATTACGAGTTCAAATATGCTAACTTTAGTTTGAATAAAATTATAAATAAGCCAATGGTAATACATTATTCTTCCAAAATATGGTGATCGTAATTTACCTAAGTCAATAATATACTTCTTTTTTTTCAATGGAAATTATGCATTAAAAAGCTTTAAACTTACATTAAAACTTAAAATAAACAACTGATTGTTTAAAAGTAACATTGAAATAAACTTTGATAAAAACCGAATAATCATAGCAGTTAATTATAAATGTATTAAATCTAAGATCTTTATTGGGCTACATTACAATACTAGTTGCTCCATTAGAAACATTTTAATTCACGTTCTATTTTAATTCATCTAAACTACGACAATTTATTTCATGTTCTTCTCCCATCTTCCATCCCTCCCCCACTCTTTCAAATCGTATTTCTTAAGCTAAAAATGTAAAGAAATTTATTTTTTTAAACAACTTTGACTTTATTTTTTAAAAGTATTTTATAATTTAACTCTAAAATAACTTTTAAATTAAAAAAATAAAAAATCAAACATATCCTAAAACATGACTCAACCTGCGAGAATCAAGGCCCACTAAGGCCAATTTCTCTCTTTAATTCTGTTGACACGGAGGTCCACATGTTTTGATGGACTATTTAGACAAAACCCAATTAACTTAACATTTTTATACTTTCTTACAAAAATCAACATCTTGAAAAAATTCAAAATTTGACATCTTTGAGTAGAGCCATATGCTTCAAGTTTGACTATTTTCACTCTTGCACATTTGTGTAGAGAGATGGAAGGTGTGCTCAACCTGGCAAAGTGTGTCAAAATATTTACATATAGCTCAAGATTCTTAAAGCGGAATGTTTATGAATGTAATTGCCAATGATCAAGCCTCCTACGACATTATGCCCTTAATCATCGTAGTTACTACTAAGCTTGACTGCAGCTATTTCCTCGTATCTTCTATATTTGAATGTTATTGTGAACTTCTAACTGGCACTGGCTGACAGGAAGCTCATGCAGATTGGGGGACGAAGCTTTAGCAAAGCTAGAATAGATGAAGGGAGAATCCACAATCCATCTCCACAAATCAAACCAGAAGCAACTGCAGGAACCATCAAACCTGCCTCACTTCTGTTCAGTTTGTGCCACACAAACACAACCAAACTACCCACGCACATGTCAACGGCAAAGTAACCACCAACTAGGAAAGGAACAGCCATTGCCATCGGAAGTGGAATCCATTTCCCAACCTTTTGGGGGCCAAGATCTCTGACCAAGTTGGTTACTATGGCAAATGCAAAAAATCCATAGCAGAGTTGCAAGCAGTGCTGAGGGAGGGCAGAGAATCCTTCCACACCAAGAATTGCCATGTTTCTATAAATGATGGCATATGGAGCCTTGTAATTCCCATCTGGGTTCCCCACATCAAAAGCCTTGTAGAAAAGGAAGAATGTGAGGGGAGCAACAACACAACCTATTGCTGTCCCAATTGCTTGGCTTAGAAGCATTGAACGGGGGGAAGTGAAAGTGAGATGGCCAGTCTTGAAATCATGCATCAAATCAGATGAAATGGAGACAATAGACTTTATCAGGCCGCACCCCACAAGTCCAGCAACTACACCATCACTTTTTCCTGCCAAGGCTGCAAGCACAAAGAGAGCCACTTTCCCATAGTTATAGGCCATGTTCATGTCTGTTAAGCCTGCACCATAAGCATTGCAGAAGCCAAGAGAGGGTGCGAAAAGATAGGCGAACACCACGTAATACCACTTCAACTGGGGGAACATCAAAGGGATTACAATGATAGAAATGATGGAGAACAATATGTACCCAGCACATGCCAACCATATAGGAATGCTCTCTCTTGCAAACATTTCATTCCTTCTAAGATCATCAATAGGAATCGGTTTCTGGTTATCTGAAACTGCAGTGCCAAAAAATATTAGAATTTTACAGACAAATACAAGACTCACTGATATCTTTAATCACTCCATATTAAAATTCTAGTTGGCTAAATACCAAATGCAGCTTTATACCAAATATGAAAGGCTTCGTCATATGCATATACACAACAGAAAAATTGTAAATATTTGTTCATATGTTGTTGATTATGTTACTCTTTTACTTTTGCTGGGGGTTTGTTGAGAAGATGAGAGCAATCGTTATTACAAGGGAAAAAGAAAGCTGTGGTTGGTAAGAGTTGAAATATATTGAGGATTGACTGACATCCTCGGAAAAATTTAAGAGGCCATTTACTTACATGTATTAAGGTTCTTCCTTTTGACGGAGGCGTGGATATTCGTGGCAGTGAAATAGAGGACTTTGACGAAATTGTAAAGCCCATCACCAAGAATCAATGCAATGGAAATAAAAACCTGCAGCAACAAAATGAAAAAAATAAAATGAAAACCAAGGCTTTAAAAATTGAAAGAACTAAAATAAATAGTATAGCTTTGATAGAATCCTTTAATTCTAGCCAAATTTAGACCTTATAGCCATTAAGACTCTTCATGCTACTTTCTGGTATACTTGCCGGAAACCATTCACCTTTTAGTCCCCGGATTAATGGCCACATAATGCCCCATGAAATCACAGCACCCAGAAGCAAGGATAAATTAACAAGATGGGAACATATCATTCCTGCTCCGACATAAGTCATGCTGAAATCAAAATAGAATCTGCCAAATTGAAGCACTTAAATCAATAAAGACAAACCATGATTTCAGGGTTCGGAGACAATTGCTAGTTGAATAAAGACAAAGGAGCTTACGAATTTTTCCATGCTTTCAATCCAAAAGTGGGAAACTGAGCAAATCCACAACTCTCTCCACCCGAATAAAACCATTGGAAGAAAGCCCAGAGGAAACTGGTTGAGAAGAATTTCAAGAAACCATGAACCTGCTTCCTGCAAAAGTTGAACAGCTTTGAGCTCCAATAATCATTCACCTTGTTTAACTTGAAAATACTAAAAACTTTAGAAGCACGGCAAAACAAAACATGTTCATACTTGGCCATCATATCTCCTTTAGGAGTATGGAACCCGTTGATAAGAACAGCAGTAGCAGTTCCACTTGGATAAGTTAATTTATAGTCTATTATCATAATCTGTCATATAAACACAAGCTTCATCAGCACCAACTCAAGTCAAGCAGAACAAAAATCCTTAAAAACGAGACCATCACTTCTAAAGGACAGTACTAGACAAATAAACTTACAGAATAACAACATTTGGACAACTACTTGCACTACATGGCCCTGTGCAACATCATATAACTCATCACTAAAATGAAATACCTTTCTAATGGGAACCAACGCCAACAACCCAACAAAGCTGGTGACAAAGAGAAAGGCTGTCATCCATCCAATTCCAGGCTCCTTAATACTCGAAGGATTATTCCCTTCTGTATCAACCCCTGCTTGCTCATATGTTCTTCTATTCAAACCCAAGAGGTAAGATCCAAAACCACCTACAGTCACACAAGTTCAGTTCATTACACACACTATCACTTAAACAAACACAAGTTAAAAGTTAAATTGAAAAAGGACCCACCCACCTCCTACCGCGATGCTATAGCAAGCGACCGCACAAGTCTGGATTACCGTATTCTCCTGTCTAGTGAATGGTGTTGAAACAATTTTGGCCTTTGCAAGAATCTTAGTCCAAGCTCTAATGAACACAAAACCAAGGAGAGCAGCTGAGACATTGAGATTGGGGACTAACCCAGTTGTGAGGTTCAGCTTCATCACAATCGTACTATAAATTACTCCAATCAGTAAACTGGCCACCAGTCCCCTAATTGTAATCTGTTTTGGCCATGGCGCTGGTTTACTCACGTCATCAGGCACAACCGGAGCCTCTTCAATGTCCTCTCTTCCAATATTCTCAATCTCTTTGAGTTCTTCGTTGCTTATTGCATTAGTCCCCATTGGATTCATCAAATCCTCAACCCTGAGTGAATGATCAATCACCACAGAGAAGAAAATAAGACAAGAGGTACTCAATCAGAGAGAGAGAGAGGACAAAAACAATACGCAATGATTGTAAGCAAACCAAGTTGCGGACTACATATAAAGACGCCATTTTTATTACAGAATCGTAATTCCAACTAAACAGATAGAGTAAAATCAGAAACTATTATTAAACAGTTTACAACAACAAAAAAATCTATAAAGAAAGGTGGACGTTTTTTTATAGGAAAGAAACAGAAGAAAATGAATCAGAATCGGATTCCACGGTTTGAAGATTTATGCCACGTAAGTCAACAAGCAGTGATGAGTGAATGATGAAACGGTGTCAAATAAGTTACCTCACTACTCAGTTGAGTTTCAATTTCAACAATAGAGAATTGAATCTCTGACAGAGACCAGTGCTTGAATTAAATTGTGGAACGGTGAGAATAACTAAGCGCTTGCAAAGGAAGCCACGAAAACAAGGAGGGAGGAGAGGTAGAAAAGAGTGAAAGGAGATAAAGAATGGAAGGAATTTATAGTTGGCATTGGAACCAAAGGCACAAAGGGTCTGTGTAGCTGCATGTAGTACAAGTGGTGGGTATTGTACTACAATTGATGTTTTTGTGAAATAATAATGATTTTGTACTGAACTTATGAAAAGTCTGAAGAGGTTTTTTTCCACTTTCCAAAAAAGCTGGCTAGCTCCACACACACGCAAAAATGAAAACTGTCGTTGACTACGGTGCAGAGTGGGAGCTGTTGAAAGTGGGTGACTGGTTTTGGTGTCTTCAGTTTCTGGCATGAAACTAATCAAAAGTGGTGCTTTGTGTTGTAGGGATGTGTGTGAATTGAACCAAGGCGTGTGGCTTAATCATGTGGGAAGAGTCCGATAATTTAAGAACGTGGGGTGGAAGTGGAGTGAGGGAGACACACTCCCTGAGAGAGGTCAACGAAATTATACTTATAACTTTTCATTTAATTTTATTTTTAATGTTTAAAAAAAATGTTAGAAATCAAAAATTTTAAAATAAATAAAAAAATTAATAATTCTATTTTTAAAAATTATTTTAGACAAATCATACAAATGATGATAAGAAATCACATTAATAAAATAAATTACTTTTTATAAATTTTAATTTTTCAAAACTCAAATTTTCATTATTTTAAAATATTATTTTAATAAAAGAGTTATGAAGTAAATTCTTTAGTATTATCATATATATATAAAATAATAATATCGCGAATAACGCGATCCTCTGGTTCCATATAAATATTAATTTAAAAATTAATTTTATTTATAGTATAAAAGAATTCTTTGGAAAGGATGAGTGAATAAGAAATGTGGTGGAGAGACAAGGAAATGGAAATGCGTCCATGCTCTGTATCAAGAGATATTTACGTGTTCAAGCAAAAACCTGTAATTTTAAACTAAAAATATTAAATAATTTTTAACTTTAATTGTTTACTATTATTTTCACTTTTGAATACTAGTCAAACATAAACGTCATTGGGTCTGCGTTTGTATGGAGAAAAATAATAATTTAACTATGGTTACTAAGATATTAAAAATAAATTTATAAATTTAAAAAATAATTAAAACAATCATTATGTGATATAAAGTAGGTTGAATATAGATATCATATTATTATTTTGGTCACATTTTTATTTTTATTTTGGAAAAATAATATATATATATATATATATATATAAATTTACAACTTTAAAATTTAATTGATATTTTACAAAGTTTCTAATTTTAAACTATGTTTTGATGGAGACTGTTCCAACAAAAAAACACTTGACTAAATTCTTTAATGGGGTATTTTATTGAAATTTATAATCTATTTAGTAATTAATTTTGGAATTTTTTATACTGAATCCGTTTCAGAATCTAATTAACAAATTTTCCTCTTCACGGTTTTCAACACAAATTAGTATATGTGGATATGGATTCTCTTCGTTCCCGGGTGGATAGAGATAAAAAGAAATTTTACTAAAAGATATTTTTTTCTTAATTAATTAAAAAAATAAAGTATTAGCATACTTGATTGGGAGAATAAAAGAAGTTAAGATAAAAATAGTTAATTTTATTGTTTAACTAAAAAAATAAAAATTATATTAAATGGTATTATATTTTTTATAATTAGTAAACTTGCAATTTTATAAATCATCTTGTTCACTCTCCTTTTCTTCCTTAGAAAGCGTACAAGTTTCTTTCATTCATTGAATCTTACTCAACCAAACATAAATGCAGGCACAGAAAAATAGAAGAAATGTATATGGAAACTGAAAAGCTAATTATTTTTTTTTGTTTTTCAAACTAAACTCACTCTCTCCTGCTAAAATAAATTCACAATGTACTAAAAAAATATAAAGTGATTACTTTATAATAAATTTAATATAAAAATTATTTTCGAAGATAAAATTTTCAAGCATAAATCACTTTGCTTAAAGATTCTAAATACCATACCAGAATCATATATACACTAAAATAAGAAAAAATAAATGAGAAAAAATATTATTGGATATTTCTCTAATTTTTGGATATTTTATCATGCAATTTAAAAAAAAAATGCTAATGAAGTATAAGCAACTAATGTTCATAGTAAAATTAGTTTGACCCAATCCTTAACTATCGTTCTCCTAAAAGAAAACCAGATCCTATAACTTCATGTTATCTGCAGTTAATATATGTCAGAATTTATTACAAGTGAAGTTTATATTGCACATTCTTCTATAAAGCAACTATAATTGATATAATACTGATATTTATGTAAGAGTTGGTACATGAACATCCCTACCCTTAAGTGCTGCAAACTTTTTAGTTTATGTTTTTAAATAAATGGGTTATTACATCGGTTTAATGAATTTAATAAATAATCTTTTTATTATATAATAAAATAATTGATAATAATAATTTATAAAAATTATAAATATAAAATAAATTAAAAATATAAAATAAATAATAATTTAAATAAAATAAAAATATAATAAATAACTATATTTAAATTTAATATAATTAATATGAAATAAAAAAATTATATTAAAAAAAATATTTAAAAGAATTAATTTTACTTGTTTTTTATTAAAATCAGTTTGACAGAAGAATTCCGTAAATTTTATCGATTTTATCTTAAAAATTTGATTTTATTTAAATTAAAATAAAATTTGATTTTTAAAAATAATAATGATTTCTAATCCAATTTCCATAGTTAAACCGATCCATCTAGTCCGATTTGATTTTCAAATGATGTTTTGCATTTTTAGTTTGTTGTTATTTGTCTGGTTCTCTGTTTCAAGATGCTCGTTTTTATTTTAAAGTAATCAGAGTACTGGTATGCACTATGCAGCCACACCACAACAAAAACCAGGGCTAAAAGCCAAAATTAAGGAGCAGTACAAGTATAAGGCGTCAAGACCACGCTGCTTCTCATTAAAATTATTTTTTATTTTATTTTATGGTCTTATTTGTAGCTTAAATTCAATTTTGTTATAGATGTATTTTTTAAAATTTATGATAAAGTAAAGAGAGAAACATCTATATAATTTTCTTTAATTTCTTTAAAAAAATATAAATTAAAATTATTCATTATCTAATAATTGAACAAGTATAATTTATTTATAAAATATAAAGTTGTAAAAATATATGTACCTAATTAAATTAACAAAAAATAAAAATATTTTTTTAATTATATAATTTTGATAATATAAAATCTATAAAAAAATATCTTATAAAAAAAATAACACTCTCTTATAGATTTTATATTGAAAATATATTTTAAAAATATCCATAAATATAAGTTATCTTTGAAGATAATTATAAGCATTTTTTTATAAAAAAAAATTATTATCTTCGACGTGTTTTGTTAAATCATATTGTATTAAATTATAAGAAATATTACAAAAAATTTTATTGTTGTAATATAGATTAATTAGTTATGTGGATGAATGTACAAGATATGGTAAAAGAAATCTTAATCATAAATATTTATAAATTTTTAATATTAAATTTCTAGGTCAATTTTTAAACTAGAGTGAGAGACACTTTATTTATTTTTTCCATATAATAATAAGATTATCACTAAGAAATGTAAAATAACTTTGATATTAATTGTATATCTCTCAATTATTCAATCTAATCTATATCGATATATATATCTACCAACTAATAATTTGTATTTCTGGTCTAATTCTGTTCTAAGTACATTAATTTTTTTTTTAGAAGTCTTTAATATTCTAGTTTATCAATTAAGACTTGATATATTATAATAAATAATTTCAAACATTCCTCCCTGTATACTTGTTGGCTAACAAATTGACATACTTGTTTCGTGTAACAATTATGAGATATTTATTTTTAGACAAAAAAATTCTTTTCATAGATTTAAATATTTCAATCCATTCAAAATATTTTAATAGATCAAGATCCACCATTTCAAACTCATTTGATGCTTAACTTTTCTTGGTTATTTCTTGTAACAATCATATCATTTATATATATAATAAGTTTAATTATCTTACCTTCTTATTTCTTCAAGAATAAAATATGGTCCAAATTACTTCGATGATAATATTGTCATAGATATTGTAAATCTTCTAAACCATGTTCATGTAGATTGTTTTAACTCAAAGATTTTTTTTCAATTTACATAACTTTTTTATTATATTTTTCAAGTACTGTGCAACCTGGTAGAAGTTTCATGTATACTTATTCAATTAATTTTCCATGTAAAAATGCATTCTTTCTATTAAATTAATTCAGTCATCATTACAAATTTATTACTAAAGAACAAATATCTTTATATAATCAACATCATATATTGTGATATATCCTTTTGTCATAAGTCTCATTTTAAATCATTTTATCATATCATCTACTTTGTATTTGATGGATTAAATCCATCGTCATCTTATTGGTTTATTTTCTAATGAACAATCAACAAGGGCTAGAGTATAATTCTTTTAAAGTGAGTTTATCTCCTCAT